AATCGATGAGAATACAAAGAGTGTTAAATTTTCAAGTTGCCCACGTTTTTAAATCTAGAAAATGCCTGAATAATTTTGTCTTGCAAACTCCTGACGTCTCTCGATTTGCTCTCAGCCGTTCCAAGTAACTACATACTTTCTGGTAATGAAGAAAAACGGTGAAATCCCGTCTCAGACGAAATGCCCACGTCTATATTTCCTGTTCGATGTTCACACTGTCATTCTGTGTAGCTTGGGAAGTCCCTTAGCTTGTATTAGTGCGACCAAATGGTTTTAAAATGATCTGTTTTTCTAACAAACTTCAAACTTGAATTGACTAATTATGTCTAATACAGGCATCTCATGTCTGATGGTGAAGATGGTGTATGATGGTGGAAGTGTGTCAGATGGTTGTCAGATGGTCGTCAGATGGTGTATGATGGTGTATGGTGGTCGAAATGTGTCAGATGATTGTCGGATGGTGTATGATGGTGTATGATGGTGTATGATGGTCGACGTTTGTCAGATGGTTGTCAGATGGTGTATGATGGTGTAGGGTGGTTATACAGGGAAGGGTTGTCAGATGGTGAAGATGGTACAGATGGTGTAAGTAGCTAATAAAAGCCAGTTCTAGGAGAAAACGGTTTGCGCATGCGCGTGTTGAATTGATGACGTCACTTCCGGTTGAATCGATGACGTCACTTCCGGTTCCCCAATTTCCCGCGCCGTCCTGGGGGTCCTCTGCCTGCCGGACACCTCCCCCGTGATCGCGCATACGTGGTCGCGAACACGCAGGTACGCAAGTACGTAGACACGTGCTCTGACAGTTTGCCGCAAATCCTCGTGGGTGTTGACCCGATGTTCCGGGGACCCCGCACGTCCGCATGCCCACATGCCCGCACTCCCGCATGCCCCGCATTCCCACACGTCCACATGCCGGCATGCACGCACGCCCGCGCGTGCTCACACACACGCACGCTTGTCGGAGTCTTGCTGAACAGAATCAACATTTATAGAAGTGTTTGTATAATAAAAGGAACCATGTCCATTTCCATAACCAGAGCGGAAGACTTCTCCGAAAAATCGTTTGACTTTGAGGAACCCGTCGGAAACAGGTTTGGGTCCGAAAGTATTGGACTTGTGGCGGAGGACGGCGGACCCCTATTGATTCAGCTGAAGGACTGCTTGGCCTACGGGATCAACAAGGACAAGAAGTTCGGTAAGGAGAACTTTACCATTCCACTGGCGGTTGGGAACCACAAGGACTTCGTATCGGCCTTGGAAGTACTAGAGAGGAGATGTGCCGAGGAGGTTGGGAAGTCCGGAACGAAAACCATAAGGTGTTTCTACCGGAGTGGGAAATAGCCCGTCCTATACGCAAAAATCGACAAGACCACGGTGATGTATAGGGATGGGGAAGGGGATATGGATCCCATGAAACTCATCGACAAGCACTTTCATCTGGATGCTTTGGTTAGGTTCCCGAGTGTATACGTGTCCGGGGATATGGTATCCGTCCAGGTACTGCTTCAGGAGGAGGTGTATCTGAGGGAAAGGAAGGCAGAGCCCAGGAAGAGGCTTTTGCGTCCAACTAGGGGTAGATAGATGTCTGGCGTAGGTGCGAACCCTCTTTCTAAAATAGGGTGTTTCCATGCATTTTGATGCTAAAATCTAGCCAGGTAGTGACCTGGCGTAGTTTTCAATTCTGTGGGAGCAGGTGCAGACCATTTGTTACACAAACAAAATCAACTTCTACAAAAGAAATCCTATATAATAAAGAGAACAGTTCTCTTTCGTCCCATGCTGTGGACATTTTGTGAACTCCATTGCTTTTTCAAACCTTATAGGTCTGAAAAACAAAATCAACCCCAGAACCACTTTATAGATACGTTTTGCTATATAATAAAAGCAATAGAGTTTACAAGGAAAAATGCCCCAATTTCGGACAGAAAATTCGAATCCTTAGAACGGATGCGAACTAACGTCCTTGAGAAGGCCAGGGAGAGGGGCCTAGAAATAGAAGGAAAAATTAACAACCATTTCGACGAACTACTCAAGAAGGAGAAGAGAAGAATAGTCGAAAAGGAAGTTAAATCGGCAGCAAGACAATTCCGGAAACGTAGGAAGCAAACAGAGGCCGACGCAAAGAGGGAAATAAGGGATGCAAAGAAATGGAAGGGCGACATCGCCAAAGAAGAGAAAAGACGACGGAAGGAAGTTACGGACTGGAAAGCCAAGGCTCAAAAGTGGAAGAAAGAAACACAACGCCTGCGTCGGAATGCAAGGGCTGGGGAAAGACTGGCCGAGGAAAAGCGTAGGATTGCAGAGGGTAAGTGGAGGGATAAGAAAAAATTTGCCAAACTCCAACTGAAGGTTGGTGACAAGCTTAGCAAAATATTGGAAAAACCGAGGGAAATCCTGAAACCCGTCCTAACAAAACACGCCATCAAGAAAAGGGTAAAAAAGTACGTCCTTACCCCAAACGGCAACTACGACCCATCCTACTTCCTAACCATCGCGGAAGACGAGGTTAAAACACTCATAAACTCAGAATCGGAACCCAGGAATGTAAGGACGTCCTTAGCCTGTGAAATGGTAAGGAGCGACCCGAAAACCGGGGAAGAAGTGCCAACCATCGCTCACTTCGGATCGAAGAACTTATCGGTACGGACGATACGGAAGACACTCAGAGCATCATGAGGGAAAAGATGCTGAAATCCTTTTCGGAATACCAGAGGAGGGGCAGCGGATGGAGACTACGCAGGGTTACCCGGCTGGAAATCCACATTGGTGAGTTCCGACCACTTAGGGGCACGAACCACTACCCAAATCCATCGCCGGCAAGAAAGCAATTATCAACATGAAGAACGACGACGACAAATGTTTCAAGTAGGCTGTCACACGTGCCTTGAACCCCACCGACATCCATCCGGAAAGAATCACAAAAGAACTCAAGAGGCAATCCGAAGAGTTGGACTGGGAAGGGACTGAATTCCCAACACCAATAGATGGTATTAAAAGGTTCGAGAAAAACAACAATATCGGCATTAACGTGTTCAGCGCCGACGAAAAACTCAACGTCTACCCCTTACGAGTATCAGGGAAAACCAATCCCATCAGACTCTTCCTGTGAAAAACCATTATAGCGTCGTTAAAGATATGTCTAAACTCGTAGGTTCACAAATTAGCAAGAACGAACACAGGAAATACATATGCGATCGATGCCTTAACGCATTCGGATCGGGCGAACTCCTGGAAAAACACCTGGAACTATGCTCGAACAACGACTACCGAAGACACGAATATCCAAAACCCGGCAGCACAAAAAATTCGAAAACTACGAAAAAATACAGGAATTCCCAATCATCATCTATGCAGACTTCGAATGTTACATCGAACGGATGGACACGGTCGAGCGGGGTCCCCACATGTCGGGTACAACTCCATACCAAGTGCTTCGACAACTCCATCTACAAACCTAAGCTAGTACACTATACCCAGCAATACGAAGGAGAAGACATCACCAAAAAATTTGTAGACCTTCTCGAGGAGGAAACCCTGGATATCCGCAAGAGATTCAAAACGCCAGCCCCTAATAATATGACCCCTGAAGGCATCGAAGACTACTGCAGCACACAACTCGTGCAACCTCTGGATGAGGCAGCCGAAATTCATACCAGTCCTCTTCCGTAACCTCGAAGGGTATGATGCCCATTTATTCATCAAAAACCTCGGTGTAAGCAGTGGAGATATTGGATGCATTCCCAAGACGGAAGAAAAGTACATATCCTTTACCAAAGAGGTAGTGGTCGATACATTCAAAAACAAGGATGGTAAGGAAAAGAAGGTCAAAAGGAAATTAAGATTTCTAGACTCTTTTAAATTCATGGCAAGCTCCCTGGACAAACTTGCTAAGGGTCTAGGTAAGGACGACTTCGAAAATTTGGACCTAATGACATCTCACTACACCACGGAGCAACGGGAAATCCTTAAGCAGAAAGGTGTATACCCCTACGAATATATGAACGGGTTCGGTAGACTGGAAGAAACATCCCTCCCACCCAAGGGCAAGTTCTTCAGTTGTTTTACCAACGAAAACATCAGCGACAACGATTACAGGAGAGCACAAAACGTGTGGAACACCTTCGGTATTAAAACCATGAGAGACTACAACGACCTTTACCTCAAAACAGACGTCCTACTCCTGACAGACATTATGGAAAACTTCAGAAAGATATGCAGACCAAACTATGGACTCGATCCCGTGTGGTACTACACAGCACCGGGACTGGCGTGGGATGCATGTCTGAAACTAACCGAAGTAAAACTGGAGCTTATTTCCGATCCAGACATGTACCTATTCATAGAAAGGGGAATCCGCGGAGGAATCAGCACCATCATCAAAAGACATGCCATAGCCAACAACAAGTACATGGTTAACTATGATCCAAACAGAAAAAGCAAGTACCTACCCTATCTGGCCGCAAACAACCTCTACGGATGGGCAATGAGTCAGCCACTACCCATCGGGGACTTCGAATGGATGGATGACAACGAGCTGGAAAAATGGATAGAACACAGCTGCATCCTCGAAGTGGACATCGAATACCCCGACAACCTCCAAGACCTACACAACGAACACCCCCTAGCACCCGAAAGGATAATGGTTAACAAAACGGAAAAACTCATACCCAACCTCAACAGCAGGGAAAAATACGTCCTCCACCATACAAACCTGAAACAGTACCTGAACCTGGGGATGAAGTTAACCAAAATACATCGTGGAGTCAAATTTACAGAAAGAGACTGGATGAAAAAATACATTCAGCTCAACACAAACCTCCGAACCAAAGGAACCACAGACTTCGAAAAGGACTTCTTCAAACTCATGATTAACTCCGTATTCGGAAAGACAATGGAAAACGTAAGGAACAGAGTCAACATCAGAATCGTCAACGACGAAAAGAAATGGAACAAGCTGGCCAAGAAACACAACTTCAAGTCAACAACCATCTTCTGAGAAAACCTGGTGGCAGTTCATATGAGGAGAACCTCGGTAAAACTTAAAAAACCCACCTATCTGGGAATGAGTATCCTGGATATCAGCAAAACCCTCATGTACTACTTTCATTATAACTACATCAAACCGATGTATGGGGATAACGCCAAACTCCTATTCACAGACACGGACTCCCTGTGCTACGAAATCACCACCGAGGACTTCCTCAAGGACATTTCCAAAGATGTTTACGAAAAATTCGATACCAGCAACATCGACAAGGGTCATCCCTCCGGAATTCCGACCGGAATAAACAAGAAGGTTATCGGAATGATGAAATCGGAAACAGGAGGAAAACAGATAGAAGAATTTGTCGGACTCAGAGCAAAACTGTATGCCTACAAAATGGTGGAAGACGGGGAGGAAAAAAAGAAATGCAAAGGCGTCAAGAAGACAACCATTAGAAAGGAAATAACGTTCGACAACTATAAGGATTGCCTCTTCAGCGGTGAGAAACAGTGGAGGGGAATGAATGTCTTCAGAAGTACACTGCACCAAATAGATACCGAAAGGATCGTCAAGGTAGCCCTATCGGCAAACGATGATAAACGCATCATCTGCAAAGACGGGATACACACCTTAGCAATAGGACATAAAGACCTAAGACGGTAGGAATCCAGGCAAACTGATTTTAATATTCAAGGTACTCGGGTACTCATCTATCTACCCCTAGTTAGAGTCCCACCTATAGACTGTTGATCCTGAATTTGAGGTACTTCTGACTAGATTTAAGATTACTCACAAGTTAACTGAGATCTACTCATGAGATTACTCAAATTTACTCATGAGATTACTTGCGAGTAGTCGTAAGATACTTTTGACTAGATTTAAGATTACTCACAAGTTAACTGAGATCTACTCATGAGTAGTCGTAAGATACTTTTGACTAGATCTAAGGTTACTTACTAGTTAGTTAAATCCTACTATAAGTAAAGAGAAACCATGTCGGAAGTAAACACGGATACAACAGCAGTACCCGTAACAAATCCGGTAAAGACCCACGTCAAGGATCCCATGAGGGTGGAGGCGGGGCGTAGGCTTGCTAAGATCAGTAAGGAAGCGAAAGCTAGGAAGAAAGCACGGATTTAATCTATCAGGGAAGAGGAGGAGAACGTTCTGACCGGGGAATCCAGAAATGATGGGTCAGTAGTCACCTTAGAAAGAGTCGGCCTGGTAGTAGGTATCGCCGCAGCCCTCGGGTCCCTTTACTTCATGTGGCACAGCAGTCAGGAGAAGGACGAGAAGCCTGAGAAAGATAGGGTTGTAGAGGAGCCGAAACCTGTTGTTATCACGCCAAAAGGTCCTGACTTGTTTGATTGAGTATAATAAAACAATGTCGCAGATATTCTTAGACGTACTGACCTTCTTCGTAGCATCTCGAGCCGCACTGATTTACATCCGCACGCTTGAGGCGGAAGAAGCCAGACGAAAGGCGACGGAAGCCGAAGGCAAGGAAAGTGAAGACAGGATGCTCGACACCCTGGAAAGAAGATTTTCCCTAATCCTGGAAAAAAAGCTAAAGGATAAACAGTTCTACTATAATAAAAGACATAATGATCGACACGAAGAACGAAGTGATCAACGAACAGTACGATGCAGCACTATTGACAACAGGAGTCGTTGGGGTATCCTACCTTGCAAAAACGGTTGCCGGAAAAAGCCTCGGTGCACCGATGACCCTAGAAGGAGCAGCAAAGCTTGCCGTTGCCGTAGCCGGAAGTGCATTCACCATAGGATATCTTAAGGATAAGGGATACATCCCAAAAATGATTGACAAATAAAGAATGACAACTATCGTAGTCGGAGGACTCTTTAATGCCGTGGCCTTTGCCGGGGCCGGCTTCCTATTCTCCAGGTTGAATGGACAGGGCTACAAGGAAGAGGTAAAAAGACACAACCAAGCCTTAGAGAAGCTTGCGAAAGCCAAGGAGAAGTTTTACGAATCCGAAGTGAGGCGCAGGAACGACGAGGCAAGACGGAGGGCTGAAATTCCGGATGCTAACAAGGATATCGAGGGAACAAACCGGGCACTGAAAGACCTGAGGGACTATACGAGGCTTATGGATAGTACGGCATCCCAACGCAGACCGAAATTGGAGGACTACTATCAACCATCGGACGAAATGAAAAAATACGCAGTGTTGACAGTGGGTATACTGGGTGTTGGAGGAGCCTATGGATTAGCACGAATATTTTAAATCCTACCATTTGGATTTAAAACTTTATGTTGTCATGAGGAAGCAGCTTATGGTTGTAGTTCCTGTTCTGCTGATTACATTTCCGGAAGAGTCTATATACTTGGATTCTAGACCAAAAATTTGTACCATAGAATTTGTTGTATCGTCAGTAACGAAAAATGTAAAAGAGACCTGTATAATCCTACTGCTCTGATCACGTGTAAAAAGGACAATGGTTCCTGCACTACCCACGTAAAAACCGCACAGCGTGGAGGATGTTGCCGTGTTATTTCCATCACTAACATTAAACCTAATGAATTTTGCGTTCCCTTTATCCGCATCGGAAATATTAGAAGTTTGAAGAAATCCGGGTGGATACCCAGGTGTTTGTGTAAAATCGTACTGTACATAATTATTCCCGAGGCTATTCAATTTTACAATCTCGTCCGTATTTTTAGCAACTTCTGCCGTGTTTCCCTGTTGTCTCTTGTCAACTGCTGCTAATTTATGTATTAGGGTGTCTAGGTCTTCTGCCGTCGTATCAAAGTAATCGTATCCGAATAAGATGCTCATTTTATTTAACGTCGAAATACTAGGTATGCAAGTCCAAAGGATGCTACTGCCGCTGTCCCAAGAGCAATGTTTTGAGTATCAGACTTCTGTCTTAATTCTGGGGGTTTGAAGTCCTCTACGGCAGGGACCGGTGTAATGTCATGGCTTTCGTCTATATCATTCGTGGGAGTAGGAAAGGGATAGCTTGTATAATTCACCTCATCATTTTTTCCGAACGTCATCCCATTTTTAGCTACCGTTAGAACATTGCTGAATCCTGGGATAGGTTTTGCTAAAATTCTCAGGTCAGATGGGATTAGGATTAAACCCGGCATAACTGCAAAATTTAGGACGACATGTGTATTGGCAATAGCCATCCTCATGTTGGAAATGGTAACTGTCACATCGTCTTGTGCAATCGTATCTTTTACCACCTTCCGGAAAACCTCCTGTGTCTGCAAACTTTTCGCACCCTGACCCGTGATACTTCATCGGGTTTTGGCCTGTGCCCCCAAAACACAGTACACAAACGCCTCGATGGACTGCTGGAATAATTTCTGTCCAACTTTGGTAAGTCCCCGGGATGTTTTGGGAATGAGGGTTTTATAATCATTTTTAACGTCAAAGGGTGATCTACCAGTCAGGTATTCATATTCGATAAATGTACCTCCGTATTTGGTCAGACGGTATTTCTGCCGCCGTATTCTTTTCTGCTCACTCACAGGTAAGCCGTAATACCATGTTCCAAGGTTTGCGTGGGAAGAGACGGTCCTCCTAACCCATGTTTCACGTACAGGCATATACTTCCTAATGGTTCGTATCTCATCTCCCGTAAGATATTGGTCCAGTAGTTTGGGATCACGTATAAACCTCGACAGGTGAAAGTGAAGGTGGAAGCGAACAATGGAGGTTACTATGTTGGAGTGTGAATTGGGAAAACTGTTTGTAAGATGATCCAGCTCGGAAATTCCGGATTTAAACATAGCAACATAGCACGCTGCTAGGGAGCAAAAGTAGGAATTGGAATGGTAATCGAAGGGTATAGTGTTGATGAAGGTTTCGGGGGGGGGGGGGGGT